CTCTTCACGCTCTCAAGCGACATACTTTTACCGATCCGAACGTAGTCGTCAACGGCGTCAGCGGATGCTCCATATGCGAGCATCTGCATAGCTGCAGTAATCTTTTGAAGGCTATACAGTCCCAACTGTCCAGCACCATTCCTCTTTTGGACGAAGTACTTGTCATGTTCAACGACTGCGTCGTGGATTCGAAGGAATAACGAACGCATCATTCTGAATCTTCGATGAAAATAATGAAGAGGATAGATTGGTGCGTCAGCAAAATAATCTTGGAACAACCGATTGTGGGCTTCCAGTCGGTATCGATGGAGCACGATACGTCTTTTGTGTTGAACTGAAGTTGAACCTTTTTCTTGTTCTTCTTCATTTCTTAATCGTTAAAGCTAGATGAGCTAGACATTTTGTTATGGGAGACGATGGGTTGAGGTGAGAAGGCATCAAATTTTATAGGAATCAGTCGGTTGACGGTCAAAGTTTACGATACCTCGAACTTCGTGCCCAACCTCAAAGATCGCGAGCTACCTCGAAGACCATGTGTGTTCCCTCGAAGACCGTTGATTACCTCGAAGACCGTGTGTGCTCCCTCGAAGGCTGTATCCAACGGTTAGAAATGAAATAAAAGAGGTTTAAATATAATTAAAAGTAATGGGTAAAAAATTAAATAGAAGAGGGTTTTTTTTTTATATTGTTGGAGCTCCTAACTAGGAGCTTGTTGGAGCTCCATAAAATAAAGAGGGCCTCCCAAGACTTATTTTTATAATTTTTTATTCTAAAATGCTTGAGAGCTCTTGAGAGCTTGCTGACTAGGACTCCTAACTGAGAGCTTGCTAGACTTGCTCTTAGAAGAGTAGGGTAAAATACAAGGGCATTTTTCTCAAAAATAGAAAGTTAGGAGTCTTTTAGAAAAGATAGGTAAAACTTATGGGCTTCGTTGTCAAAAATAGGAAGCTAGGAGTTTCTTAAAAAAGAAGAGTAAAACTTAGGGACTCATTAGACTTTATAATCCTAACGAAGAGTGTTCTAAAATATAACTAGTTTAGTGGTTAAATTTTGGCCACTGATCTAATCTTTTGCTAAATTAAAGAAAAACACTCAAAATAGGATTGCTCTGAAAGAGTTTTAAAGAATTTCAATTACACTCCTTGAAGAAAAGCCACAGTTGGGTGGTGGGCTTGAAAGCCCAAAACAGCCTTCTAAAAAGAGCCCAATTTAAAGTATTTGAACTTGGAAGCATTTGTCACTATTGCAAAGTCTATAAATTTTGTACATCAGTTTCAAGCAATTTAAGTTTATTTTTAAGTTCAGTACTTATCAACTTCCCACCTGGAGCTAGGGTGCATTTAGTCCGGATACGGCTCGGACACGATGCTTATCATATTCATATTCGCTTACCCATCTTGGATACAGATACATATACTGATATATCTCGGTAAGGAAAATTTATATCCATATCCGCTAAAATCGGATGCAGTTATGGATATAGATGTGGATATATAAGCGGATATGCATGTGGATATAAAACGGATATGAGAAAACTAGATGATATTGAGAAATACATAGTTCATGTGATACAAAAGAGGTTGTTAATATGTTCATTATAACTAAAAAACTAAGATTAGACATCTTGATCATCAAAATTAACCACAAATCCATAATTTTAGATTCAAAACTACTGTAAGAGTATGACTAATATATATTCGGATATTTCGGATACGGATACGGATACAGATATTTCACTACAAAACCATATCCGTAATTATATCATATTTGTTATAGATTTGAGTAACCATATCCGCATCCTAACGGATATGGTCACGGATATTTCCTCGAATACGGATACAGTTTAGCACCTACTTGGAGCTATACATAACGTACATGTGGGGAAAATGTATCAGAAACATGAATGCCACCTAACCGAACAATAACAATTTTCAACTTCATTCTCTTTCGTACCATTCTAAGTTTATGACGAAATGTACTCATTTTTCTTTCATTTTATCGAGTATTACATGATAATAAACAACTGCTTTCTAGAATTTTGCCTCAGCTAACAACATTGCTGTAACTCTCTTCAAACTGGCAAGAATCAAATTTTCTTTTTTTTTAAATAATATTTTCCGACAAAAAAAGTGGGCTGAGAAAACTTGTGCACATTCATCAAACTCTTGCCAAACAAAATCTACCCATCTCCGTAAAACCTCTGCAAACGGTCAAGTTAGGTCCAACCTCCAACTCTCTCCCTCTCTCTTCCTTCAACAAAAAAAGTTGGTTGAAGTTCTCCCTTCTCCTTCACAACTAACTCTTTCTCCTTCTCTACTTAGTTCAATCGTCACTCCTCATTCTCTCCTCTCATCTTGAACTCATTTCAATGGGGGACTTACGGTTAGATCTCGACTCGACAACGTCGGAGACGATATCGCCTTCTTCGTCCTTCACCACCGAGACTTCCATGATATCGAAACTCTCTGTTCGAAACCTCTCCTACACGATCCACCCGAAGCCCAACCTGCCCAAGCCCATCAAGCCCAAGCCCAGGCCCATCAACGTCCTCAAGTCGGTCTCCTTCACCGCCACGAGCTCGAGATCCTGGCCATCGTGGGCCCCAGCGGTGCCGGCAAGTCGACCCTCCTCAGGGTAATCTCCGGTCGCACGAGCAGATCGAAGTTCGACGTGTCTCTCAACGGCCAGGCGTTAGCACGTCCTTCGCAGCTCCGAAGGGTCTGCGGTTTCGTTACGCAGGACGATAACCTGCTGCCTCTGCTCACTGTGAGGGAGACTCTCATGTTCAGCGCAAAATTTCGACTGAAAAGATTGAGCTCGAAAGAGCGAGAAGAGAGGATCAATGCGTTAATGCTCGAGCTTGGGCTCGACCACATTTCCAACAGTTATGTCGGAGACGAAGAGAGGAGGGGGGTTTCGGGTGGAGAGCGCAAACGCCTATCAATAGCTGTCGATGTGATCCACGACCCTCCGATATTGCTCCTCGACGAGCCTACTTCAGGCCTGGATAGCTCGTCTGCGCTCCAAGTTATCGAGCTTTTGAACTCAATGGCGCGGATGAGGAACCAGATATTGATTCTGACGATTCATCAGCCTAGCTATCGTATCATCCGACATATATCGACATTCTTACTTCTATCTCGCGGCAAAGTCGCACATTTCGGTACCCTCGACTCGCTCAAAGAGTCCATAACGGAGTTAGGATTCAAAATATCCGTTCAAATCAACCCTCTAGAGTTCGCGATGGAGATTGCAAAACAATTGGAATCACACAATGCTGTGAAACCTGATGTTATAGCCTACAAGGCTCCTACCAGCGAAATCTCCGATTTCAACGACGAAGCAGAATACGCTTATTGTTCGAGGGTGGACGAGGTGATCTCACTCTCTTGCAGGTTCTTCAAGATCATGTACCGAACCAAAGAATTATTCTTGGCGAGGACAATGCAGGCCATAGTAGGTGGCCTCGGCCTAGGCAGCGTGTTCCTAAACGTCAAATTCAACCAAGACGGGATCGCAGAGAGGCTAGGCCTCTTTGCCTTCAGCCTCAGCTTCCTCCTCTCGTCCACGGTCGAAGCCCTGCCAATATTCCTCCAAGAGCGACGAGTCCTTATGCGCGAGTCCTCGCGCAGGATGTACCGTCTGTCATCTTACATGTTAGCAAACACACTAGTATTCGCTCCGTTCTTGCTCGTGGTGGCGCTTCTTTTCTCCGTTCCAGTGTACTGGCTCGTCGGGCTCAATCCATCTTTCACCGTGTTCATGTTCTTCGTGTTGATCGTGTGGATGATCATCATGATGGCGAGCTCGCTGGTGCTGTTCCTTAGCGCGATATCCCCTGATTTCATACTGGGTAACTCGCTGATATGCATGTTTCTCGCCGTGTTCTTCCTCTTCTCGGGGTATTTCATACCCAAGGAGAGTATACCCAAGTACTGGATATTCATGTACTATGTCTCGCTGTATCGGTATCCACTGGACGCGATGCTGATCAACGAGTACTGGAATTACAAAGATCGGTGTTTCTCCTGGGGAGATGACGGGAATGGGGGGCCAATTTGTGAATTGAGAGGGGCTGATGTGCTTAAAAATAGGGGGCTTGAGAAGGACACGAGGTGGGTGAATGTGGGGATAATGTGCGGATTTTTCTTGGTTTATCGCTTGTTGTGTTGGATTGTTCTTGTGAGGAAAGCTGCAAGGACTAAATTATAGAGGGGTGTCTGTGCATGATTGATTTGTATGAATAATTGCAGGCGTAATTTGTGTTTTAGGACTTCATCCAAAAGATTGCCTTCGTGCATAACGCCGTGCTATATTGCTAGATTCAAATTATCAACTTTGTTAGCTCTAACATGTCAGTATTTACTTCCGTCACACGAAGGTAAAACTAAGGTACATGTATGACTCGCTTTAAATCGGTACATCTTTTTAGACCTAAAATTCATGGGACCAACTATGAGACAAGATGACACGTATCATTTTCCTGGGGTTTCAACCATGATCAATGACTATCATAAACACACATCACATGTCTCCTAATTGTTTAATTATTTGCTTTAAATCTTCTTCATTTTGATGTTACTCTATTTTAGTCTTTAATGATGTTTTATTAAAATATATAAGATTATTTGCACTTACATATCACAAAATTTAGGCAAACTTTAACTTTGACATTCCAAACCTTTTTTATTGCCAGAAAATTTTACATTTAGCTAATGGACATCAAAGTTAAATGTTTTTCAAATCCGAGGGGGAAAAATTTGCGTGTAAAAAAAGTTTAAAAAATGATGTAAAATTTTTGGATATTTAACTGCAAATAGCTTAAAATAAAATTGCAGTTCTAGGCGTGGAGTTTACCACGATATCCACATCCATCACTTTTTCATAGATATTTTCCCAAAAACCCAGGAAAAAGAAATCTAGCGAAAAAAAAATGGACGGAGCATTAGCAGAGCCCATAATCAAAGTCGCCGCCGTCTGCGGCTCCCTCCGGCGAGGCTCCTACAACCGCGGTCTCATCCGCTCCGGTGAGATTTCTCAAAAAAAAAAAAACCCCTCCATATATCTTTCTTTCTTTTCCTTAAAAATCTCATC